GTTTATAAATCTAAATCTATTGCAACTTTCAAGTTTTCTTAGTTTGAATGCTGTTTAATCTTTTTTCAGTAATCCGAATGGTTTGATTGACACTAACTTATGTTCATAGCTTACATGGTGCTTTAAAAGAAATCACAAACATGTTCAATACAACTCCTTTGACTTTAGTTGCGAAGCTTCTAATCTTTACAGAAGAAGAAATCAGATAATTGTTTATCTCCTTTGTGAACATTATACAGATAGAGATGTTTCAGAAAATATTTGACAAGACTCAATAAACAAATAAACAAGGTGAAATACATGGAATGGAAGGACAGTAGGACTTTTCAGTCAGTACTTCATAAAAGCTAGTTTCATTTGGAAATTGTTTTATTTTCTGAAGGGGTTTGATAGGAATGAATGATAGGTTGTGAAGCCTCCAAACAAACGTCGGCTCATCAGTTCTCGCTTCAGTTGTAGACCTGGAAAAAGACTTGTAGATTATAGAAATACTTTTTCATGGAGAAAAACAAATAAACGGGTTTAGTATCGAATTTTTATTAAGTTGCTAGGACGCTCCTAAGTTTTTCTGCCATCACCAGAGATTTTAGCGAAGAAAAGAATATGGAAAAACTCACTCAAGTCTCCTCGATATTCGCGTGCTTGTTGCGCGCGCATTTCCAGGTAAGCTGCTATAGGCCGTACGGGGTAATCTTCATTTATTTCTTCACTTGTGTGCATCTTTGTATGATTTTGCTCCTCTTCGTTGATTGTTTGCAAATCTTGTTGATTCTCAATATTTTTGATTCCTTTGGCAAAACAGCTGTGATCTTTTGTAGTTGTTGATGTTTCCTTGTCTTCAGTTTTAGGACATGCCTTGGGTTCGCCACTTGCTGGCTTTTTCTTGATTGAACTCTTCTTCTTTTTAGGTTTTTTCTGTGCATTAGTACAATTTTTAGAGTCGAGTATCTCCTTATTGGCTTGTTCTCTGCAATATTCAATCCATTCAGTAGTTGCTTCATGTTCAGTGGCTCCTTTATAGCTGATGGGCTGATCCTCCTCAAAGTCGCAAAGCTTAGAAGAGGCTTCCACTTTTGCTGTATGTTTTTTTGCTGTAAAATGATTTAAAGTTAATGACTTCAAATTCTATGCGGAAAGTCCAGTCCTTGAAAGTAACATACTTTGCCGTTGATTCTCTTCGTTTTCTCTAAAACAGTTCTTCATTTCTTCCGAGATCATTTGCGCAATACGCTCCTGTTTATCCACTTCTGAAAAAAAA